GCTAGAACCTTAGACATTGAAATCTTAATCTCCTAAAACCCCAATCCAAACCCTAGATCTAGGTGACCAGATCCCAACATTCGCTTGCAATCGTAAGCCATTCCAACCATGTAGCCTTATATAAAAAATTAAAAATACATAAGCGCTTTGCCTAGAGGCATAAGACCTTCAACCTATTCACTCCAACCTAAACTTCTAGGTGTTCAAGTGATTTTTTTTCTCAAGATAGAGAGGGTGTGCACACAAAAGGTGTTTGATATGGGCTCCATCTCGGTCTTCTAGTAAAAAGTCGTCTTTTCTTCGATCCTATATTTTATTATTGAATTATCATTTCTTTGTTTTATTTTCTATTTTATGTCATTTTTAATTGCCCTATTTCGGTATGAAATCAGCTGATGCTGTTGACGATCTGCAGTAGAGTTGATCTCGAAAGAGATCAACTCAATCGTAGGTCATAATTCGATAAGACCCCTATCTCCATCATTTTGGGTGTCTAAATCAGGGCGTGGTCTCTCTAGAATTTGCTCTTAAACACCAATCTCCCCAAAAAATTAAAAGGAAAGGGGATTACTGGAATTTTCTCCTAAACACCAATAACCCAAAAAAATTAAAAGAAACGGCATTAGACGAAAGTATATCCCAATCAATTTTAAAAAAATAAAATTAGACAAAAAAAGAGGATTGATTGACTATTCTCAAAATACTTTTCCTTTTTAAAGGACCTGGTTTATGTGAGTTAGCCAACTTACCTGTACTTGCACGTCACACTGCACATCAAATGTCCATCTCTAAGATTAGACGCCATCAAACGGTGTCTCCACCAAAAGCAAAAATGCTGGGTGGAAATTGTTTTTTCAAAAAACACAATTTTTATTTTTCATAAAACAAAAATCCCATATTCATGATCATCGAAAAGTTTGGATCCAAGAGCCATTTTTAATATGAATTTTTTTTTTTTTTGGCCTTGGGGTGGGGGGAATGCTATATTCTACTAGGTGAATTGGCTGACTCACGAGAGACTTTCCTATTGAAGATATTGAGTTAATAATAGATGCAGTTTCTATAAGACCTAGGTTTTATGAAAACAAAGTAAAGCTTCACCTTGAATTATCATATGAAAAGCACTTTGGGCTTCAGAAATGTCCATGATGGCTCTAAATTCAATTTCAATACCTAATATGACATTTGAAGCTCAAAAAATAGCTCAGATCTTATTGATCATCACTCCCTTTTAGGGAAAATGGATGGTCTAGATAATGTTACAATGTACACTATATTAAGGGCTTGAAATCATGGTTTTTTTTCCACAACCATAATGGTCATGTGGAGATGATCGATTTGAAGATTTTCTGTTGCCAGAACTACAATTTTTGGTGAATTAAGAGGTGAGGTGTTACTTTGATAGGGTTGCAACCCTATCTAAACATTTTCCTTTAATAATTGACTTTATGCGCAGCAATATTCACTACAATTGGGACAAAATACTTAATAATAATAATAAAAATAATTGGGATGGCATTGAATGGGCTAAAGAGAAAAAAATTAAAATTAGGAAACTTATATGGTAAGACCATTCACTTTTGATACAAGAAGGTCATATTCATTATTGATCATTAGATGTGACATTTAGTGGTCAGAGATATGTCACTAATGACACAAAGTCCAAAATAATTTCTTTTGAAAATTATGATGCCTTTCAATATGTTGGATTTCACATCCATTGGCTACCACTATTGTAACCTTCTTTTACAAAAAGTGAAAGTCTATAATAGACAATCTCTTAAAAATAAATGAAAAAAGAAAAACAAGATATAATTGAAGGTACCTCTCTTTGGTCTGGGTGGCACATACACACAAATCGAGAAATGGTCTATTAAAGCAAGATAGAGACTAAGGTGCCTATTAAAAATTAAAAGAAAATAGAAAAAAGATACAAGAGTTTAGGTGTGACAATTCGGTAGCTTTGACCCAACCTGAGACTGATGGGTCCAAGTGAGGACCTAGCATAGGTTATGTTTGGATTCGTATCCATCATAGACCTTATTTGGTCAAGTTGAGTTTGGATCAAGATTGGCACGATTGATCCGATATTATATACAATATATATGTATGTACTATGTAGTATGTTTGTTTGAAAGACGTCCAAAAATGTTATAGATCAATAGAAATAAATTACATCATTAGAAATAGTAAGAGATGCTAGAGAAACACCACCCTTAGCTAAGGCATCAGCAACACTATTAGCCTCTCTGTAAACATGGGTGAAAGAAACAGAAATGGAAGAGGTAACATCTAAAATCTTCAACCATAAGGAATGAAGTTCCCATGAAATCCAATGTTCCTTTCGGCACCACTAGATCACGTTCAGGGAGTCTCTTTCAATCAAACACGTGGAACCTATATTCCTCTCAACAAAAATCTCCATCCCCTTAAGCATATCGTATAATTTCGCCAAGTTAACTGTTGTCACGCCAATAGGACCCGCATAGGATAGGAGGATATTACCAGAGGAATCTCAAAAAAACCCACCAAACCTAGCAGGGCCTGGGTTTCCAAAAGAACTTCTATCAAAATTCAACTTAATACAACTTAAAGGTGGATGAGCCCATAAACCTTTTGGCTTACATTTGTGCATACCAAGGGAAAACAAATTGGGGAGGTTCACCATGGCATCAACTTTAGAGCTACCCCAACCTTCCTTAGTCACTGAAAGACCTGACCAAATAGTCAAAAGGCAAAGCAACCCCTTCAAAGTCCTCCTATTTCGCTCCTTCCAAACCTCCCAAAGGATCATTCCTTTTGCTATTTTCCAAATCACACTACCCACTTTAAACAAGAATGGAGGAGCGAGCTGATGAACAAGGTTAAGTATATTTTGTGGAAGAGCAAAAGAAACACCAACCAAGCCCATTAGCCAGTGCCATAGTCTAGAAGTGAAGGGGCAATAAAGCAGTAAATAGTTAACTCACTCCTCGTCTTGCTTACAAAGTAAGCAAATGTTTGGCAGAATTTTTCCCCTCTTGAGGAGATTATCAACAGTTAAGATTTTATTTTGGGATGCCAACCAAATAAAAACTTGAACTTTATGCGGAATCGACCATTTTCAAACTTGAATAAAAAGAGAAGACCATCTCCACTGGTCATGGACGAATAAGTTGTAACAAGATTTAACTGGAAAAACATCGTCATTTTCAATTCCCCAAAAGAACATATCCTCAGCATCTTGTGCAACATATACTTTATCCCGCAATTCCAGCAATGCACACCATTGTGATAATATTACATTATTAAGCCATCTGTAAATAAGAGATAAATTCCAAAAAATCATCTGGCCTCTCCTCTCAACTGCATCATAAATTAAAATATTTGGGTTTGACACCACCCAAAATAGGTCAGGGAACGCCACTTTAAGAGGAAAGTCCCCTAACCATTTGTGATGCCAGAATAAAGTCTGTCTTCCACTACTAATGTTCCATAAAAAATAACCAGAGATCATAGGCCTGTAGTTGAAAATAACTTTCCACATATAAGAAATTTTGCTACCTCTTCCACTACGAGGCCAGACACTATAGCCCTCCAACCCATACTTGGCCACTAAAACTTGACACCACAAGTGATCCTTTAGCTTAGAGCTTCTCCACCACCAGTTACACAACAGGGCAAGATTGAAATTCCTCAAACTTCGGATTCCCAAACCTCCTTCATGCTTGCGTGTACACACTTTATCTCATCTAAGAAGATGGAATTTCCTGTTTTCTGCATGCGAACAAACATAGACATATGGTATACAGAAAGATTGGCTAGGCATAATCTTAGTAGAGTGACCCTACCCTCCAAGGATAAGTATTTATACTTCCACAGATCAAGTTTAACTTGCACCCTCTCAATCACCTTGTCCCAAACAACAATAGGAAATTTTGAATATGAAATTGGTAACCCCAGGTAAGTAATGGGAAAGGACTCAACTTTGCATCCCATCACTAAAGCCAAATTCCGAACTGTTGTCCCAGAACAATTAATTCCTACCGGAGAAGATTTATGAAAGTTCACCTTGATCCCCAACACAACTTCACATATTCTAGAAATCTTGCAACATTTCCTAGCTACTCTTCATCTGCATCACAGAAAATAATAGTATCGTCTGCATATTGTAAATGCGAAATAATAATATTAGAATTCATAATTTGAAAGCTCCTAAAATTGCCCAAGTTTTCAACCCTGGTCAGCATAAGGCTGAAACATTCAACATAGATGGCTAATAAGAAAGGAGAGAGAGGGTCGCCTTGCCAAAGGCCTCTAGAAGCATTAAAAAATCCAGCAGGGCTGCCCTTGAAAAGTACAGAGAAATGGGCCGTAGAGAGGCAGCCAAAGATCCAACTTCTCCATCGAGGTCCAAATTTCATCAGTTTCATAATTTCTAATAACATCCCCTACTCAACCCTATCATAAGCTTTTTTCAAATCCAGTTTAAGACTCATCCCAGCCTTCTTACTCAACACTCGAGAATGAATACACTCTTGAGCTACCAATACACTATCAGTAATCTGACGGTCCTTGATAAAAGCAGATTGTGAGGTTGAAATAAGAGAAGGCAGGACCCCTTTAAGACGCTTAGCTAAAACTTCCACAATAATTTTATAAATACTCGAAAGCAAGCTTATTGGTCGAATGTCAGATAACCGCCTGATCATTGATTTCTTAGGAATTAAAGCCAAAAAAGTGGAATTAACTCCTTTAAAAGGATAACCTTTAATGAAAAATTCTTTACCATCAACAATAAGTCATCCTTCACCATATCCTAGATTCTGTGGAAAAAGACTAGAGGGAATCCATCACAACCAGATGCTGTCTCCAGGCAGTGTAAAAACTTCAACTTTAAGTTCATCAATAGAGATGTCCTTTTCCAAGGAGGCTTGTTGGTTACTATTTAGTGTTTGGAAAGGGACACTATCGAAGTTTGGTTGCAAAGCCAGCTCCTTAGTAAAAGTAGCCTTAAAGTGCTAAATAACACCAACTCCCATGGCCTCACTATCATCAGGATCAATTCTAGGTATAGAAAGACCTGAAATATCATTTTGTCTTCTTCTGATACTAGTAATTGCATGGAACAATTTCGTATTATGGTCACATTCTTTCAGCCATTTATTGCTTGATCTTTGTGTCCAATCTAAGTCCTCAGCTCTCCATGCTTCCTCCAGCTCTTTGACTTTAAGACTATGCTCCCAAACCAACTGATCAGTTAGAACACCGCTCTCTTGAACGTTAAGGTCCATCATCTCAATCTCTGCTAGAATTCCATCTATCTTGGCTCTGAAATCCATATGGTTCTCCTTCTTCCATTCTAACAGTTTATGCTTTATATTTAGTAGCTTTTTATAGATTTGATAGTCCAGGGACCCAAAAATCATAGTGCTAGACCAAGTTCTCCTAATAAGTTCAACCACCTCTTGATTCTCCAACCAGTTTAATTTGAATATGGAAGGCTTAAGGCTTCCTTTAAGACGTCTCGTATTAAGAAGCATAGGAAGATGGTCAAAAGACAACCGCACCAAGGATTTTACTGAAACAAGAGGGAAGACTTCTGCCCAATTTGCTGCAATAAAAAATCTGTCCAATTTGGACATAACAAGATTCCCTACGCTATTATTAGACCAAGTGAACCTTGATCCAATAATAAGTGGGTCCAAAAAGGCGTTATCTTCAAATGAACCTATTAAACAATCTCATCATGAAGTTTATTAGGTGGCCTGCTCAACATTCATCAGTCCACGTGATAAGATTAATGTAACAATCCTAAAATTTCAAAAAAAAAAAAAAAAAAAAAAGGGGGAAATGATGCTTTTAATAGGTGATGGTCTGATTGAGTATGATGGTCCTTGGGGACCATCACTATTTTCAAAACTTTTACTTTGGTTTAACTTTTGCTTTGCCTGCTTTTGCCTCCTGCTGCTTGCAGTGGCAACGTCCTTTAGCGGACGTGGTTTTCGTACGATAAAAGCAGACTTTTAACGCGACACCTCAGGTATGAGGTAGAGCGTAATAAAATAATATAATAATACGTTATAAGAATTTAAATAGGGGATGTGAGCACTCCCACCCTAAAACAAAATTTTGAGATCTCTCTCTCTCTGGTCGAAACACAGTGAACTCCTCTCTCGAACCGAATTTTTTATCGGAAGCTTCCTCTCAAACAATTGTGGGTAAGTGACATCGCCTTTCTGAAAAATAGTCTATTTTTAATAAATAGTGATATTTCCGTCTAGGATCTTTATTTTATCAGTTTTGTGTGTAAGTGACCTCATTGTCTCAAAAAATAATCCATTCTTTTTAAAAATAAAATGAAATAATTATTTCTGCTTATTATCATGAATTTTAGGCGCGATAAATTTTATGCGCACGTGACCTCATTATCTTGAAAAATAATCTTTTTAATAAAAATTGTGATATTTTATCTATGTTAGAAATTTTGAATGCTGTAAATTAGAAAAATAAATTTATTTATTTTTCTTGTCTATTGTTAGAAATAAATGTGATATTTCTGCTTTTAGTAAAATTGTGATATCTCGTTCTACTGTTTTGAATATTTAGACATTGTAAAATTCATGTGCAAATGACTGCCTTATTATTTAAAAATTGACATTTTTGCAATTGATTATAGTATTGTTGTGAAATGTTTATTTGTGAATTGATATTCCATAAATTGTGATAATTCCGTATTCTTGAATTTTTATAAGAGTTTTTCTATACATATTAAATTGGCAATTATGCTAGAATGCCTTTACAAACTGCTACCTTTCTAAATTTGAGCCCAAAATATTTGATTGGTTATTTTTGAAATATTATAAAGAGTGACTGTTATTAATGGTTTAAGTGAAATTCATATTAATAGTTTCAATGATATGTTGAGTACATGATATTGCTGCTTTCGAATGTTTAAAGAGATTTAGAAATAATTTAAGTATGCAAGTGGACTCATCCGGTTCGCCGGTGAGGTATAAGTGGACCTATCTGAGACGCCGGTAGGGATTAAGTGGACTCATCCGGTACGACGGTGAGGTATAAGTTTACCTGCAGGGATTAAGTGGACTTATCT